AAGAAGCGGGAGGGAGGGCGACGGGGAGGGCGCCCGGGCCGTCCGTGGGGTGACAGGGGCAAATCAAAGGAAATCAACTCGGAGGTCATGCACCCTGGGGTGTGGCCCTCTCCTGTAAGGTCGCGAGTGCATGCATGGACTGTTTCGAACGCGTCCTACCACCAGCCAGCGACGCTGTCCTCCTGGTGGTTTTTTCATGATTTTTAATTTCCCCTCCTCCCACGTCAAGCTAGTCAACTACTTTGTCCTGTCGCGCAAGACCTCAGCCCCCCTCGTTCACATCGCTCCCTGCGCTTACTACCTCTCCCTCGCTCCCCGGTCTCTCCCACACCGTCTCTGCTAGCCTTGCCACGCCTCTAACGGCGCCAATAATCCCTTCTGGTCCTATGCAACTCTCTCGCTGCGGCCCCTCTCTGTCTATCGCTCGGCTTGATCGCTCGCCGACGGCCCCCCGAGCCCTCAGGCATCCGCCAACTCCCTACTTCTGAACCGCCATCTCCTCATGCACTTCTCGGACGATCTCGTCCACGTCCTGATGCCGGTAGGGGCCATGGAGTGGGTGTATGTTGAATGAGGCAATGACGGGCGCACGAGCTAGATCAACAGGGTCATAAGACATGCAAAACATAGCGAGCGCAATCATAGACGCCACCCGCCGCAAACTTTACGGGGAGAAGAACATTCCTGCAACCAAGCCTTGCTCTTCATGCACAACCCAGCTATTATACTGCGCATCCGAATGCACACGAGGGGGACATACCCTCTCCTTGCCCTTACCTCGAGCTCGTTCCCCCAATTGGCTTTTCCGGCACCACTTTTCTTTTGCGTTTCCTCTCGGCCAGTTCCACTGCGGCGTTCAAATTGACGCCCTCTAGCCACATCCGGGCGGGTATGCGCCTTCTTGTCGTGGGGATCGTGGATTTCTTTGCCTTGTTGGTCCATGGCGAGTACCTAAACAAAAGTCGCTGGGTGACAGGAAGGAAGAAGTTGTGAGTGAACTTCATCCCTCCAAATGGTCTAAAAGCACCCTGTGGCCATCCAAAGCATAGCACCCGTGCTATTCTAACGCATAATATCTATGCTGCCATTATACACGCATGACGTCGCCCCTCAAGTCAGAGAGACATACGTGAACTCACTGCCTGTTTACTTCAAGAGACATGGCGTGTGTAGCACCTCAAGGAGGCTTTGGCGGCGTCGTCGTGTCCGACTTTGCAACAAGGGTTAAAAATCGAGGATGCACCATGTTGAAAGCTTCAAAAGGGATTTATCGTCATAATCAGGCCATCCTTACCGAGTGTTCGAGAAAGCGCACCATCCCGGGGCATGGCGGTGTGTCATTTCTAATGATATGTGTCCTACGGCAACCTGCCTCGCTTTTTCCTTCCCGGCCCGGGACACTCCTTCTTAAAGGCCCTTTTCGGCCAAGTGCAGCCATGTGGTCTGTGCTTCCGCGTATGCAGGGTGTGTGACCTGCAGGCTTCTTCAAATGTCCAGTTGTTTGTTTGAGCGTGACGCAAAAGTATCTATTGCCCTCACGTGTCATGAGCACAAATCGGAAGGAGGTGGGTTGGGTGACAGCCTAGAGCTCAAGGACAGGAAAACACGCCCTTGCAACCGGTTAAAATGATAAGAAATTTCTATCAGTTTGTCTGAATTCATACGACTGCTCAACATGGAAACGGGGGAAACATTGACTTGATAAACGAGGAATGCAACGTTTAAAAAGGCATTCCTGCCCTGCACCCGTGTTTGAAGTTATTTATTCAATTGAAAAATTAACCTTGACGCGCCATATATGCCGCAATTTGCGAGACAGTATGTCATCTATAGCACCCCTGTCTGCCAAAGGGGCGGCTTCGATGCTTCTGTTCCTAGGTTTTGTGATGGGAAGCGCTACAGTCATTGCTGCCGTCGCGATTCAAGATCTCCTTGATTTGGACCCGATACTCCGAGGCTGGTTGAAAAAGAGGCGAAACTCCAAGGGAGATGGCAGCAATGGCAGCCCTTTGAAAAGGCCGGTCCCGTCGTTTTTGGAAGCCATGTATTTGTACGAAAGAAAGGTGGGATGGGGGGAAGTTATCCCCTCTAGTCCACAGGAGGACGGTTTCTGCATGCCGGCTGCGTGGGAGGCTCACGCGGGCTGCTGGCTCCTCTTCCCCTGTCGTCGCGACAGGCGGGCGCACGAGTTGGAGGGCGTTCAAACGGTGTACGCACACATTGCAAACGCCATCCAAGAACACGGGAGCGAGCAAGTGACGGTGGGAGTGCGGGCTGAGGACTGGGAGGAGGCCAGGGCGTTGCTGCACCCCGGGGTGCGCGTGGTGGAGATGGAGTCGGACAGCGCCTGGGCGAGGGACTCGGGACCGACTTTCGTGGTGAGGGATGACGGGGAGGAGGAGATGCGGGAAGTGCGGGGTGTGGACTGGGCGATGGGCACGGAAGGCCCGTGCGGGAGGGACCAACTCGTGGCGCGGAAGGTGCTGGAGGTGGAGAAGATCCGGAGGTATGCAGCCCCCTTAGTCATGGGAGGGGGCTGTTTTCACGTGGACGGAGAGGGTACGTGTCTGGTCACAGAGGAATCGCTCTTGTCGCCGACGCAGCGGCCAAGCCTGGCCAAGGAGGCGGTGGAAGAGGTCTTGCGGAGGTACCTGGGGGTGGAGCGAGTGATATGGCTGGAGAAAGGCGTGTACGGGGACGAGGACAGACAGGGACGCGTGGACAGCCTGGCTTGCTTCAAGGGCCCCGGGGAGGTGATCCTTCACTGGACCGACGACGAGATGGACCCGCAGTTCGACCGATCCTGGTCAGCCTTTATCCGCCTGACGCAAGCCACCGACGCCAAAGGCCGAGCGCTCCGGATCCACAAGATGCCCATGCCTGGGCCCATCTTCGACGAGCAAGGGGGTGTGGAGGGGTCGCTCCTGTCGGGGGCGGGCTGTACGCCTGCGGGAAGGGAGGAAGGAAAGGAGGGAGGGAAGGAGAAAGGGAGGGAGGAAGGGAGGGAGGGCACGCACGAAGAGGGAAACGCGCGCATCGTTGGACGCAAGGTGGGCCGGCGCATGCCGGCCTCGTACGTGAACTTCTACATAGCCAACGAGGCTATCGTCGTACCGCAGTTCATGGATCCCAAGGACGAGGAGGCCATAGAGCTCCTCCAGTTCCTGTACCCAGAGCGGCGCGTGATAGGCGTCTGCACGCGGGATCTTCTTCGGGGGGGGGGCAACATCCACTGCGTCACGCAGCAGCAGCCGACCAACCAGTTCGATGCGTTTTGAAGGCGGGAAGCAAGGGCGTGTGGGCCTGTAAATACTTTGAGGGAGGGACTTGGGACAGGGTGGGGGGCCGGAGTGACTCACTAAGGTCTGCTCCGGCTGGAAATGGCCCCGTTGCACATTAGGTGGGATCGAAAGCATTATTTTTGGAGAGCAGCACTGTTTGCCTGTGCCCGCAGCAAGGGGTAAAAGACGTTTGAGACCATCCTTTCAAGGTGAAGGAGGCAGGGGTGTCTGCTTTTCCATCTCCATCGAAACGATTTCTTTTGCCTTTTTGCGTTTTAGCCGTCGGTTCATCCTGCAAAGCTTTGTCAATCCATCCATACTTCTCTTGTGTCTATAGTTAACAGTATTTGAGCCTTCGTTTCCAAAGAAAAACGTGAATTTTGATCCGATCACCGGTCTTGGCATCGACCTTTCCCTCCATCCGTGATACCAGAGCCATCCCACCCCTCCGTCATCTCCCCCCCGCCTCCTGCGATGCATCTGATCCTCGTCACCCAATCATTCCAAACAACACCAGGTCAAGCCCGTCGACGCGTCCTACGGCCTTCCTCTGTGACCTCGGCCCCGCTCTATCCGCAATCCCACTCGGGCGCATCAGCTCGTGATACAGCTTTCCCAGTCATCCCTGGCCCATACGCGAGAAATTCCACAAAAAACAAAAGGCAAGCCCTCCTGCTCGGCAACAGTGGATTCCTCCATCGGCGCGTCCGATATGCATGGATTTCCACGCTATTCTGGCGCCCTCACCCTCCTGAGCGCCCTTCCGTGAACGCCGAGGCTGGCCTAGGGCATGATCCCATTCGTCCACAATTGAAACTTGTCGTACCACCGCGTCCCACAGGCATCGTAGGAGCGAGCAACGAGCCCGTCCACTATTCTAACGATCTGGGCGTCCGAGAGAGTCTGGCCGTAACAGAGGCGGGCCTTGAAGGCAGCAATCGCCTGCGCCGGCCCTACTTTCACGAAGCACGGGAACTTGGACTGGAAGGACATGATTTCCATCAGACAGATGACGGTCTCGGCGTGGGCGTGTGCCGTCTTGAAGCCTTGGACCATCAGCTCCTTGTAGTAGCTGAGGAGGGGGAGGAGAGGTGCAAACGGAAAAGTGAGGGTGGAGGAGTGGAGCAGACGGCATCGACCCTAACCTCCATGTCGGGAGCGACAGAGGAATCCATGTCTACAATCAAGGCAAGCACGATAAGTCCAATGAACTCACGATGCAGCCACCTTCCTGTCTCACCTGAATAAGGCGGAATCGGGTCCGTCGAGAATCTCCAGCATCTCTGCGGTCAGCTTGAAGGGTGCGCGTTCAAAAGAAAATCTCCCCCCGGGCCTGACCCCTAGGACGAAGCCGAAGTCAATGTGGATTACGTGGCCCTTCTTGTCGATCATGATGTTCCCGTTGTGGCGGTCCTTAAAGAAGAGCAGGTAGGAGAGCAAGGAGTACCCCGCCAGTGACTGGGCAAAATTCTGCTGCGCGGCTTTGAATTCCGGCGAGCCGCTTCCCCCGTAAATCTTCTCAAAGTGGCCCCGCAACGTCCCGGGGTAGTCACTGCTCTTCTTGAGCCCGTCGAAGGAGATCGCGTCCGTCAAGAAGGCGATCAGGCCCGTGCTGTTGCCGGTGCTGATAATCTTGTAGGACCGCAACCAGATCGCGAGCCCCGCCAGCCTGAACACCTCCTCGTAGAAGGAAATCAGCTCCATGATGAACACCTCCTGGCGCACGTCGTCGTGGCTCTTCAAGATCACCGCCTGGAGGTCCCACCGGCCCGCCGCCACGGCCTCCGAGAACGAAGTCTTCTCCCGCAATCGGTTCCTCTTCTGCACCCACACCTCCCCGTAGCAGGGCACGATCTTGTTCGGGTCCTCAAAGTCACTTTCTCGTCGTCCTCCCTCCCCTTCCATCGACGACCGCATGGAAAGTCCCAGCGCAGCTTCGATCTTGGAACCCATGCTCATCAAGCCG